TTCACATCAAGAACAACGTCGGGTGTATCGGTGTTGTTCCGCCTAACCCTCGTACAAATGCTGATAAGCGCGTAAGTTCACCATGACCGGCAGATGATGACTACGCATGGCGCCAGTGATGGACAGGGCCGTGACGTGGAGCCACCCCTGTTGACATCTACAGGGTCAGCGGGACCCGCATGAAGGAGAAGGACCCTGTGATCCTGGAAGCCTTCCTCTCTCTTGTTCTTCTCCTTTTGCTCCGCTGTAACCCGTGCTTTCCCTTGGCCTATAAAAGGTAAAGCAGGACGCCCCATGAAGAGGAGAGAGCTAGATCCACACGAAGCCGAACCATGAGATAGAAAACACAAGAGCATGACACGAACACACTATTGTGCAGCAATCGAGCCCTCAGCACCCATTCACTCCTTCCATCAGAGACTTGGGATCCTTTCCCTCTCTCGCCTGTTTGTAACCCCTGCTATAAAATTTCAGTGCCAGTAACACGAGCAGCAGCGACGAACTAGACATAGGGACTTTCTACCCAAACCAGTATAAACCTCGTGTCCTCTAAGCACACCATCTGAGCTAGACGCGTAAATACAAATTTACTCATCAGTGGTTCAAAACAATGACAAGGAGCCAGGCCTGTCGGATCCTCCTCGACTTTGTATCTCAGCGGGTGTAGCTTGTCATTAATTAACATCTAGAATATTACTTTGGTATTTCTGGCTTATTTATTTAATTAAGTTCATTATTAATCTTATGTTTATTTGTTGGATTCCCACTTGCATCAAGTGCTCTAGTCTTTCCAAAACTAGAGTAGTAATCGATAAGAGTAGGCGTGGTGCTTAGTCTTGTGATTACCTAGAATTGCACCTAGCCCCATAGATAGTTGTGGTAGCCCTAGGTGGTAACAACTCTGACGGCCGACATAATCCACCACGTTCAGGTTGGTGTTTGTAGGACGTAGTCAGAGCTTCCTAGCCCCTTTCTTATCCCTGTCTATATCTAGTGTTCTGATGTCCTAAAGTAAATAACCTTGAGATAACCTGATCCTTGATTTTATAGATTGGCCAGGAAACCTTAGGAAATTCCTCTCTACCCACAAAAACATTTTTCCTTAGACTACCTTGATTCTTGATTAGTACACTTTGCCTTCTACGTGGAAATTGATACCTTGTAATACCCCCGAGTGAAAGCTACATCGGTATCCGTGTGCTTACGGATTTAACTATTTGCGTTAACAAATACCAACACCTGAGTGTTGTGCAAGCGTCCATGGTTAGTGAACACAATGCCGAACAACCTGTGGAGGCAATTGGTGTCATGGATCTAGTAGAAGTTGTATCAATTTTACAAAATGTTCGCCCTTGGCAGGCATATCAGGTGGTGGATCGACCACTTCAGTTTCGTTAGTATATACAAATGCATTTATTTGAACACCGAGGTGAATGTGTCTAACTACACATTTAATTATTTTGTAGATTCAATGTACTCAAATGCAGGTTTAGATGGGGTTCTTAAACCCAGCCAGTGATCGTTGTTTTTGATGAATTGACAAAGGGCTTGCTATTTAACAAGTCAGATATCCTCCATACTTGTAGCCTAAAAAATGCCATGTAAGTTTGTTGCAAATGCCTCATTTTGTAGTACACATTACATATTTAGTGGTTCAGCCAAGCTATTTTTCATGGGGACATTGTGAATGCAGGAACCATTATATATATCTATTTTTACATCATCTTACAGGAATGCACTCTCACTATTTTCGGCTCTCCAAGGATACCATGAGACCAATATCCAACATTTATCATGCTGAACAAGTAAGACAAGCTAGGTAGCTACTACTATCCCACATTTGGCCAAATATTAGATTATTGTTAGCTTTGATCATTATATGTCACTCTCATGATGAGTTTTTCACACTGGGCCTTTGAGAACTACAACAAAAAGAGCAAAGCAATATCAACTGCTTTAGAATTTTTTTTCTTCACTATGCATGTACATGATGCCTATTTGATCGCAACACAGCACTTGGGCGCTGGATTAATATGGTATGTCCTGCATTACATTACCACCCTCAACCAAGATATATATGGCTACTCCGGCTCTTAGCTTGTTCCCCCTTAGTCAATTGAGCGACCTAATTTTAAGTCTATAGCAAATGCATGTCCTAACTATGTTTCTTATGTTGTAGAAACTATGGTCAAGGTACAACGATGTTGACCGACTACACTTGGGTTGCAAGAACACCTTGGCAGTTTCATTATGGACCTATTCAAAAATCTCGATGGAGACCATTGTCGTATGTGTTTTATGATGCAACTCTGTCATTCTTGCGGATGGATGTGTTTTATGGAACTGTGTCTTGGTTGTGATGTACATATGTATGACATTGTGTATATATGTATGTGACCTAGGGTCTGGTGTAATCGAAATAATATTTCTATTATTATTACAATTGATTCTAGAAAATGTAGTATTAGTGATGGCCTGTCAAAATCGTTGGTTATATGGAATCAACCGGTGGCAATGATGGTAACAACATCGCCGCATAGTACGATAGTGATGGAGAGGGCTTCACTGTCGCATAGTATGCCAGACCGACATTGGTACCACCATCAACACCGCCGGATCGAACAGCGACTGGCTCTGTTCGTAACTGCATCAGCGCCGGATCATCTTCCCTGGGTGGTACGTCAAACCGACTTTGTTATCCTTGTCATCACTGCCAGATCGTGCATAACACTGCTGGTGGTACGCGAGCAAGTGCCGTCGGGCCATGATCTAACGTGCCGGTGAAGTAACCGCCAGCACCGCCGGGTGGTATGCTGATCTGACGGTGATGACCAATACCTCCACCAGCGCGCAACCCGCGGTGATCAGTCCGACTTTCATCGTCGACGTTCACCAATAGGGGCCAAAATCATCGGTGAAGGGGGTCTAGAACCGACGGTGATAAACTGTCTGTAGTAGTGGTCACCCGACACTCACTGCCTTCGACCACCTCACTCACTGCCTATAAGTACCCCCACCTCCTCTACACACTATAAAAGGAGGTGTGGATCTCGGCGAAGATCATCCCCAAGCATAACCAAGCATATCCAAGCTTTCAAGCTACACACAAGCTTGAGGAGTAGCTCTAGAAGTAGTAGTAGGCTAGTAGTGGAAGTAGAGCTAGTGCGGAGCTGTGCTCGGAGTTGCAAAGAGTTTTTTGGGTCTGGTATAGCTCTCTTTTATTCTTTCTTAGTACTTTAATTTATTCAGTACTTTACTTTGTTTAGTATTTTATTCAGTAATATAGTTTTTCTTTATTCAAGTTTTAGTTCACTCTTGTTCATCTTTAGCGAGGTTAGGTGCTTGCTCTTAGCATTATTAGCATAGATAACCTTTTACTTAGTTTGATATTCGATAGTACGAGTTTCACCGTCTGGTTAGGGTACTTCGATCTCATTTCACCGAAGGTTGGATCGATGGAGTGAGTTTATAGATTAAGCGTGGTGCTTAGGCTATAGCTTGCCTGTGGATACGGCTAGATCCCCGGATAGATTGTGGTATTTAGCAGGTGGTGATAGTCCTGCCCATCCTCTGTATTCCACCACATTGGGTGTAGTTATCAAATCGTAGGGCTCGTGGCAGACCTTGTCTAGTTCATCCCCTGGTTGTCTAGGCGGGTTGTGCTCTGAAGTACTAAAGAGTTCTTTCAAATCCTTAGATTAACTTGTTGCTTAAGATAGACAGTTTGCTCGCTCTCCCATTAGCTTTGCCTTACTTCTAGCCTCCTTGACTTCTACCCTTTTTTCTAATCCACCTTTATCCCACATTTCTATCAACACCTCTACAGTATCATCAACTCACTTTGGCTGAGGACGTATCTTTTACCCGATACTCCAGCCCCTAGCATTTCTATTCATCAGCCATCCTATCCTTTCCACCTTCTCTTGGGGAAATATAAATACGACCTCGAAATACTTACCGAGCAAAGTGCTACACGATATTTTTCTATACGCTTGCGGAAACCATCCAATAGATATAAGAAGTATCAACACGCGCCTGTCGTCTTTGTCTGGTCTCGTTCACATGATTGCGTCGCAAGAGTGAGCGGTGCCGCCTGCCCCTAAGGCCAACTTGGTGTTTGTTGGGCTGCTGCAAACAATCACGGCCTAGTCTCAGGTGGCCAGGCCTGGCCCATGATGTTCTATTCTCCGCCTCGTCTTGAAGAGCAGCGCCACCGTTAGCGCCGCCGTTGTCTTCAACCTCTCGGTTCCTCGTCTCTTCCACCCTCACGCGCCCTTTCGCTAGATGCCCAAGTCCGGGGGGGGGGAGGGGACTTAGGTACCTAGGGCGGCCGTCCAAGCTCGCCCTAGCGGTGGCTCTGCCTCTGATGACTAATATATCCCTCTCGTCGTTTAACTCGCTGACTTGACGCTATATAGACAATACAAAAAATAGCATTGCAGGTGAACTGACCTAGCCATCGTTCTTCTCATGTTTTTCCTAACTAAATCATTTATTTTTTTCTCATTGGACACTTGTGCTCGAATGAGAGACCTATTATTAGGCCACGCATACTAATAAGAAAACAAAAACAACATACCTGAATTGGACCAAAGGACAACCAACCTAAAAACCTCCACGGGTCGTCAAAGCAAAACGGCAATAATGAAACCCGCGCGACAACGGTGACTACACGAGACCCGAACGGTCACATTCACCACACCCTCCCGCCGACGTGTGGGCCTCGTGGGTGGCGTAGACCGCTCAGCTGACCGGCCCGTGGTTTAGATGCTCCATTCTGGCTCGCGTATTTTCCGGCACCCATTTTCTCGTGCAAAGATTCTTTTTAACCATTTCGACGGTGGTGAGGTCTATATAAAAGCCATGCCGACGCGGCGATGCCGAGGCCAGGGAAAAGCATCAATCCCATTCCTCTCCTCTGCTAGTAGCCGCCAAATCGACAAGAAGCCGAGGCCACACGACCTCCAAGTCTCAGATTCCACGCCCTACGAATCATCGCAATGGTGAGCATCCGCCGGCGGCGGCCCTGTCCAGCTATGTGTGGCTTATTGCTCGGTTAGCCTCATCCGCCGTGGGCTTGGATTGACGGCCCGCTTGTTTGCTGAGGTGAGGTTTTGTTGTGTGTGTTTGGTGCAGACGAAGAAGCAGCGGAGGGAGGCGCGGGCGAAGCGACGGCGAGACCGCCACCACCATCACCGCCGGCAGCTGTGGGACGAGCGCTGTGTTTCCTGCACCACGTTTAACATCCTCGCGCCGATCTACAAGCGCATGGACAACGAGGTGGGTTGGATCTTGCTCTGCTTTCCCTTTTGGCGGGGAATCTATTTAGTTAGTTTTGGCTTGATGGAAAATTCTTGACGGTTGGTGTTTGGCATTGTGAGCAGAATTGCAGGGAGAGCCAGTACAGGGCCTACTGGTTCAGCCGCAACGAGAAGATCATTGACCGCCTTCTCGCTGATCACTCCTCCATCATCTGCCTCCAGGTGAGCTGAATCTATCGATTGTTCGACTCTCTGGTGATGTCTGGGATGTGAGCCATCAGTATACATGATTCATGTATCAGGAGGTGTGGTTGGGGAACGACGAGCTGGTCGACATGTACCAGAAGCGTCTGGGGGATGCCAATTATATGCTCTTCAAGCTTGCGCGCACCAACAATCGTGGAGACGGTGAGCCCTGATTACTCATTTCAGTTTGAGCCTAGAAGGATGAGGAAAAACATATTATGCTGTGTTGTTGCTGCCACCGTCCATTTGTGCAAATTGTTGTTGTTTGTATTTTGAAGGTTCATAAAAATATAAATAATTTATTGATCTAGGAAATCCTGATCATAGGCTATATTAAAAAGGTAAAAAAGGTGATCTTTGTGGGAGTGTGCTTTTGAAGGGGACCATGGTAGGAATTCAACTTGGCCGCTGTGTGTGTCCTTTTCGATTCGTGTCATCAAAATCCAAAGTGTATTGATGCTGGGGTTGATGGTCTCTTTGTGTTGAATACCACTGATGATGATGTCAAAATGACTATCATTGTATTGTGACACCTATTTTCCCTTTCCAGTGTTGATAATCGCTTTGCCAAATGCCTATGTTGTTGACATCTGTGGTGATTGTCAATTAGTATGGGATCTATGTTTTCTTTCTGAATGTTTTGAATATGCGCATAGACAGATTTGAATTGGATACATGGAATGCACCTTGGTGTTTTTCTTCCCTAAAGATGAATCTCTATGCAGGTCTTCTTACTGCTGTACATAGCAACTACTTCAATGTTTTGAATTATAGGGAACTGCTCTTCAATGACATCGGTGATCGAGTAGCTCAGCTGTTGCATGTGGAATCAGCAATGCCGTTCTTGCAAAATCGAAGCTCCAGCTGTGTCCACCAGCAGAGTCTCATTGTCAACACTCATTTGTTGTTCCCTCATGATCACAGCCTTTCAATAGTTCGCTTGAGACAGGTAGAGACATTATTCTTTTCTACATCTAAGCATAATGTTTTCAATATTTCAGTAGGATTCTTAAAAATTTTGTGGTGTAATTGGCAGGTATATAAAATCCTTCAGTATATTGAGGCTTACCAGGAAGAGCATAAACTTGGTCCAATGCCAATCATCCTTTGTGGGTCTGTATCTAGGCTGCACAGTAATTTATAATTTCTTTGGATTCTACCTGAGTTATGATGTTAATATTTTTTTGGACATCTATTACAGGGATTGGAATGGAAGTAAACGTGGCCAAGTTTACAAGTTCCTTCGCTCGCAAGGGTTTGTTTCATCATATGACGCTGCTCATCAATACAGTGACAGCGAAGAAGATGCACATAAGGTAACAAGAAGAATATTTTGCTATTTTGATTGTTCAAAATAGAAGTACTATGAGCACTGAATTATTGTTGACTTTTTACTTTTTATACATCTTGAGCATAGTGGGTCAGTCACCGAAACCATCGAGGGAACGTCTGCGGAGTTGATTTCATATGGCTTTTGAATCCTGATAAGTGCAGGAAGCCCCTGAAGACAAGCTGGAACGAAGCTGTTTTTGGTATCATCAAGGTAAGCAACATAATGAACAGTTTATATCACTAATATATGCATCTTAATGCTGATATAAAACAGAAGTTGACCTTGAAGTACATGCTGTTAACAACAGATCTAATTATTCTGGCCTCTTATTTAATCATCACCAGGAGCTAAGAATCTAAATTGTGTTAATTTCAGTACCTGCTCCAAGTTGCATTCCTTTCTGAGGAGAATGCATTTGCACTCCTGAAGGCAGACAGCCTTTATGATCACATCACGTATTCAAGTTTCTACCAGGCACTGTGTCAGGTATCAACAACAACTCCTTGGTACACATATACTACTGTCGACAAAACTGGTGCTGATATTAAAGTAAATGCAGTTAGGAATGGTCCATCCTGATCGACTAAATTCAGAAGAAATTGAAAAGCTATGGAGTGAAGCTGACCGTGATGGCGATGGTGTTATTGACTACAAAGAATTTCAGGTAATTCCTTGTGATTGTTTGAGACACATGTTGAATCCTCATGGAGTTCTTTAGGAGAGGAGTTAATTGCGTGAAATGGGATCTAACAAGGACAGATGGACCATAAAAAAAATTAGATGTCACAATAGAATGCATGCTTGGGAGAATCTAATGCATTATTCTGATAGAGTGTGGATATAATCTTTAATGGTGTGTTTGGTTTGAGGAATAAGTTAGTCCATCATCTCCTCATTCCTCACTTTTTTTGGTTCATGGAATGGAATAGATTGATGCATCATCACCTCATTCCTCACAAGCTAATAACTAGTACTAGTATGAGGAATGGAGTCATCCCACCAAATTTGAGGAATGAGCTCATGATGCATCACTTCATCTAGGATGGAGTGGTTCCTCAAACCAAAAACCCTATAAATTTCACAAAGGTCAGATTTTGATGAAATCTCATCTAACAAGTCATCTGACTACAAGCATTCTTTACTTTTGCTTTGTCATCAAGACAGTTTTTTTACTTTAATTCTAGATTTATACTGCTCTTTATCAGTTTTACCATAGATCAGAGTTTCCGTATATAAGTGAACCATCATTCTCTGTTAACTTTAAATGGCATAGACCTAGCAAAAAGATTGTGGCAAATAAGTCTTCAAATCTGAGGTATGAAACCATGCAGTCATTAAAACTGTTCAAGGAATTATAACATACGCATAAAAATTGGAAATCACATAATTATATATGCATAACAAAGGATCTAAATCACATATATATATTTTTCCAAGAGAGTGGAAATCTAACAGTGTTTCTTAATTCTAAAGCAGTGCATCTGGAGCCCAAACTGCTGTAGTCAAGAGGAGGATGATACTGAAATCGATATCACTGATGAAAGTCTGGAGACTTTTGAGGCAAACAACGAAGCCTTTGGCTTCACCGTGAAGGAAGCTGTTCTCTTTCCCCCAGAAGTAGAGAAGGGCATGTGGCCCGAAAACTACAGTCTCTCGGATCATGCCCCCCTCACTGTGGTATTCTCCCCTACTAGAATGCCTTGCTCTCCACGCATTCCTGGGGAACTCTAGCTATCTAATGTCAATGATCTCATGCATACATACATGCCCCACAAAAGCCTTGTTAGATTTGCTGGGGATTGGAGAGGTTGAAGCGGATTAAATCCCTAACAAGTCAAAATCTCCCTCAATACCCTTTGATCCTAACCAAACATGGCCTAACTAGTATTCTCCCCCAGTTAAGCCTTGCTCTCCATGCACTCCTGGAAGTCTTTAGCCATCAATCATCACATGCATATATACACAAGTTCTGTACAGCCGTAGATATCTTGTGGGACATACAATGATACAAACCTCAGAGCCTGGGGTTTAGGTATCCAAAGTACTAACTACAGGCGAGTGAATAACCTTTTGGATTCATGCCTTTTGTTGCTACTAGCTGATTCGTTGAAGGGCATGCTTCTTCTGCCTTCTTAAATATATGTATCTAAAGCTTTCTTCATTTGTAAATATAACTTTTGAAGTTGCTATGCTAATCTTAGAACAAGCTTGAAACATAAATATTTGGCTTTGTTGAGTAATATCTATCCGTTGTATATTTGTGAAACACATGTCTACTGGGGTTGACAAATTCTCATCTGTCTCATGATTAGGGCTAGGCTATTAAGCGAAACGAAAAATTGAACCAAAAGAACCGGTTCTAAAATTGGAGTAACTGGAACTGAAAAATTGGTTCTTTGTTTGGTCATGGATATTTATGAACTGAAATTGCCACAGCTAATTTGGTATCGAATTAATTGGGAAAGCTCAGCCCAACTAGACATTTACGGCCTAGCCGATTGTAACCCTAGGTATATATGCCACCCCTCAACACTAAGTCTGCCTGCCTACCTCCTTCAACTCCTTTGCTCACCACCCTCTTTCGACCCTTCCACTATAGTTGCCACCGACTCCTCTCTCCTCACCAGCAATGGTGGCGGCTTGTCACACCAGCTCCTTCCCTTCCTGTCTTACCCCTCTTCTACCTGACCTGTTAGGCTGTAACCGACACTCCCTCCATTGATAGGCAATGACCATGCTGCCGACTCCTCATCTCCTTCCTGGGACCGTGACGCCTAAGAGGCGTTTGAATTAGACAACTTGAAATCTATTTCTAAAACCAAGGCCTCTAAATTTCACCTGAGTCAAAATATATACAAAATACAATCTGCGACGCCATGCCACTGACTCCTCATCTCCTCCCTCCTGAAGGGATTGTGACGCCTAAGAGTGGGTTGAATTAGACAACTTAAAATATATTTCTAAAACCATGCCTCTAAATTTCACCTAGTCAAAACCTATGCAAAAAAATATCTATTGTGCAACTAAGGTTTTGAAAGTTGTGTTGATATACCGCAAAAGTGTTATGCAACCTAGATTCCAATTCTATCACTAGCCTATGAATCTAAGCTAGGAATGTAAATCACACAACCTAAGTACATAATATAAATGTGGAGGCTAAAGAGTGGTATCCAAGGAGAGAAGTGTCGTGCTCTCAAATCAAAATGTGCATGTGTGTTTCATGGTATATGAAAAATACTCCTTTATTTGATATGATCTCTCCCTAACTTATTTTGAGACATGACTATCTTTCTCTCTTTTTTCTCATTTTTTTTATTCTTGAGCCTTCATGTGCTCACTTTTTTCAACACTTTGGACCTTCATGTGTCCATGTTTTATCTTTTCATATTCTTGCATAGCATTATGTCTCATCTACTAAAAACATAGAGAGAGATCATAGTTTTAGAACATGGAGCATTTATTTAGTGGAAATGAAAGGCATGTTTTTTGCGTACTTCCAGTGTAGCACATATATCTTGACCTTGGGAACATGATAAGCCTCTCAACAAAGGTCAACAAGACTTGACAAAACTCAACACAAAGTAAGCAGCTTACATAGAAAACTTATATCATGTAACATCATATATCAAAATTTATCACAGTTAAGGAACATCAAGGTTTTGATTATTTTTCGAAGATAATCATACTCATTTGGAACAATTTTATAGCAGCTCTTGTCTTGCTATATCATACCTCACAACAACTTGGACTTTGTTATAGCACTTGGATCCCACAAAGTTTTAGGTTCATGATGGTTTCATATGAGCTAATAATCCAAACTTAGAGAAATACCAGGTTGTATAATAGGCACTACAGAAACATTAACACAGTAACTATTCATCATCTCCAAGATGGGAAGAGTTAAACATACATGAAACATATATATAAAAGATAGGGAAATATTTTTTTGGCATTTTTATTGTAAGGGTCTGATGCGTCTGCCTGGCTAACCCGGGTGTCGTCCACTCGACCGACTCGTCTTAGCTTAGACCAACATCAAGGATCCCCAGGAGAGTGCCACCCGGACCTCCGCTTTAGGACCTTTTATGGTTGAGTTACACCACACGAACCATTCATCAAGCAAATTCGCATACCACAAGCATCATACAAGAAATAGTTTGGCTAATAGCTGAAACATCATTGACCATAAAAGAAATTACAATGAGTTGTAGTCTTATACTTAACCTCTACATGTTTGCATGCTAACCCATGTTCCATCTAAGTTTTCGCTCGGTCACTAGATATTATCATCAGAGTAACTGGCAGCTCACTTCAACTTCATTGAGCTTGGCTCAATGGTCATTAAGTCGAGGGTAACTACAAAACAACTTATTGGTAGCACCATGAGTACAATGTGTACTTGTCGGCACAAAAATGTGGCGATGCGCCTGACACATAGCAAGCCGGACGATCTGAGCAAAGTCAACCCGGAGATCTACTTGGCTTCAACACAGGACCAGTCGATCATGAAAATCCGATGGTGTGCTAGTCAATTTGACCTGCAATGGACAAGGAGAGAAAGTTTTATCAGTAATTTAGGGTGGAACATGCCGGTGTTGCCCGGACAGTTCCAAGTATGCCGTTTCGAGAGGAGTCAAACAGGGGAATCGACTAGATAGCCGATATGGGGAGAAATCGACTGTTAAGAACTGTGATGCTCGTGGGTCATGATTGATTTATGATAACAAATACGATACACCCAGATATAAGTAATATAAAGAAACATTATCAGCTAGATGGATATAACCAGTGTAAAGCATTGAGCCGATAAATTTAACGAGAAATGATATACATGCGAACAAATCGACTGTCTAGTACAAATGAATCTACAAACGCTTTGAATCTAATCTGTTACCATCAACAGTGAGTTTCGATCTGATCGATACTGCTATGATAATAATAACAAACTAAAGCCAAAGAATCTATAAAACCATCTGTATATTAACAGGTTCATAGAAAACATGTTATATGTGTGAAAGTACAGGTGAATCAGCTAAAATAGCCAATGTATGCTTAGCAAACAAATAGAGTACACATCTCGATTATGAACAAAATCACTAATCGATAATCTCAAATCCAAAGTCTTACCAGTGAGGTTTGACCCGGTCGATGCAGCTATGGTAGTGTCATTAGATTAGATCTCATTAACTAGTGAGTTTATTCAAGATTGAAACATGACTTTGGATGCATACTATGTTTGATTGGAACAGAGATAAAACAACCGATCTAGCGGACTTAAATCGTCAATTATTAGATTCAAAGTGTGACCAGACTAGAAGACAACCAATTACGATGATATGATGCTGATCTATCTCTATCTCAATCAGATAATTTGTTATAATTAATAAAACATTAATTATAACAAGATCGATAACTGGTGAATCAACTAAAAACAGCAAGGAAAATCTTACTAATCTTAGTAGATTCGATAACTGATGATATTGTATTAAACAACATGTTATTTAACACAAGATCGATAACTTTGATCTATATTATGATTCGTAAGAGATCAATCAGCTGATGCAGCCTTACAAATAATGATATAGATCGAAAAATAATTTATATTATACTCGTAAAAGATCAATCGGCTGATGCAGCTTTACAAGTATGATATAAGTCGTGATGGTACTCACAGACAAGCCAGAGGTTGATATTCGATGCAGCCTGCTTGTTGAAGAACTCGTTGAGATCTATAGTACTCCTACTCCTAAGGGTTAGTGTGAAGCCAAAAAAGTAATTGTATTGATTGATTGTTCGTTGATGTGTGTACAATAACCGGGGTCTAATATTTATACCCAAAACCTAAACATGAATCCTACTCAAATATGACTCATTACAATTCTTGAAACACAAGAAAACATTCCTAACTTAAATAACTCGGACACTAATCTTTTCCTTTTTGTAGAGTCCGACATATTTTCCTCCGACACCAACCGTACGTAGTCCATTGACGTTGTCTGCTGACGTCATCTATAAAATATCCGATTCTAACACTACATCAAAACCAGGTGATATCGATTCACATCTGATCGATTCCTGGATGATACAATCTTAGAAGCTTCGAGTTCCCGCTTTCTCCTTTCAAAATTTTGGTGTAAACACATGCCCCTCAATTTTGGGATAAAAATGATTTTATTCAAAAATTTCTATTTACCTGCTCACTATGTCGCAACCGTTTTTTTTCCGAAATATACGCGCGACTCTTGATTTCTCGATCCAAATTTTATTTAATACCCCAACAGTATCATTTCCAACTCACTCGGCCTATTCGCTTTCCCCTTCTTTCTTGAGCAAGCCTCAACAACCAAAGCTGCCATCGCCAAGGCCTTAACCCTAGCAAATCCTCTGCTATATCAAGCTGTTATTCAAGTAACCCTGCTCAGATTCAGATCTATTTTGGCTGCAATGGCGACCAGCGACTACGTCCCTGAGGTATGTCTCGAAATTTCCGCTTCTCAACTATAAGCTGTTGCTCTATATTTCCTTTTCCTTAAGTTTATCTCATCTAACTTTCTAGGGAATGGAAAATGAAATTTTGATTCCGTTATTCCGAATGCTTATTACCTTGGATCCATGGGCGATACTAATCCTTTGGATTTTATCAATCAAGAAACCAATCAAATTCCCTTCAGATAGTCCTTGGTAGATTTATCTTCTTGGAACACCAAAAATGCCTTTAGAAATGTCGCAGA